AAAAAATCGATCAAAAACATCGATGTTAAAAAACATCGGCGTCAATACATCTATGTTTCTACAACAACACCGATGTTATAAGAAAATCGACATTGTTGTCACATCCCAAATCAAAAACAGTTATTTTGAAATTAATTTGCTGTAGTTTTAGAGCCGAAGTAACCCGATCAACAAAACACTTTAAAATGAATTTTACTTATTGATGAAATAAAATATTAACTAATGCTAGGCTTCAATTTTTACTTACTCGCACTTACTATCGTAAGAAGAGAAAATATTGTAATCGTGAGCCGGAAACAGGTGAATTTTCAACGTAAAAACTCTTTGCTAGGCCCTGGTAATGTGAAGGTGGATAAATTCAGTTGATAAATATAGAAGAACAGAAAAGAAAAGAATAATTCAAAGGATGTTTAAAAGAATGCTGTAAGTCTCTATGTCGTTGACATCCTCGATTTTTCGAAAATTGGAAAAAATCTTTTTAAAACTTCAAAATTGGAGACAGAGATATTTGTTTCAGACAATGTCTTGTACAAAATTAGCTCTTCAAAACAGGTCATGTACAATTTTTTGAAAACAAGAGAAGTTTTTGCGCATTTTGCAATTGAAATTTACTAAACAAATTCTAAAAATCCACTCCAATTCTTTTCTTTAAATTTTCTACTCCTATGTAATAATGAATATAAACGAGCAGTACCATTATCGGGTATTGCTCGTTTTGTTTTTCGAAAATTGTAAAAAAATTGCAACTACAAAATTGAAAATAGATATTTTTGCTTCAGAAAATGTCCATTGTACGTAATTATCTCTTCAATAAGGTCATGTAAAACTTTTTTGAGAAAAAGTGTACTTTTGCTTTATTTATGATTGAAATATACTGTATATTACCCGCGCGAGCTTTCTTGATGCACGGGCTCCCTAGCCCTCATTCAGCGCTGAATAGCACAGCACGTTTAGATACATAGGTCCGACTCGGAACGGCACGTACCAATTTACAATGATGGCAACAACTACCTCATACTTTCAAAACAATCGTAGCATTTCTCGTGGCACGCTTTGGTGAGCTACGTTCATGCCCATTCATAATTGGTACGCCCTTTTAAGCACGTGACGTAGCCAAAGCTCTCCTCTTCCCGCAACCCTCGCTGTGGAATGTCAAGAAAACTTGCGCGTGTAGTACAGGTTTCACACCAACTACGGGCCATGAGAAAAATTGAATGAATGATATGAAAAATAATTAATTTAGTTTTAATTATAATTTCCTATTGAAAGTGCCAATATTGTCTCTATTTTTGCTTTCTCGCACTTTTACTTTACTTAATTCTACAATTTATATTCTCAATGTATTGATGTACGAGTACATGAAGTTGTCGGTCGGCCGACGGTATAATGGCATACATCGTTCCTTCATACCGGAGGCAAATAATTCTTAAAGAGTTTTGTTATTAACACCATTATTCATAAAATTATAAGCATTAAGGTGCTGCACGATGAGCAATACGTTTCCCGTCACTGCAAAAGTCGATGAGTCTTGATGTCCGGGTTCTGCGACCCGGCCAGCAGCTAAGTTTACCGTTTGGGTCACGGAGGTCGACGACCCGGGCGATAAGACTTATCGAAACACCATGGCGGATTCCGGACAAAACCCTAGTCTGCATCAATGACAACTGTAACACCTTTTAAGAATTTAAAAAAATGTCGACTAACCTAATTATTTAGCTGTAAAACTAGTGGTTCTACAACATTATATACTTTTTTGCATTATTTCTAACTGGTCGCTTCACAGGACATCATACAGGCAAGCAAGGATAATTTCACATATAAAGCGAATATCCTAAAGGCAATCCAATATATCATATTATGAATGCATTCGAAACGTTGCGATATTATCTTATGTATATCGGAATACACATTCTTCCCTTGAAATTCACTTAAATAAAGTTGAATATACCATTTTATTGAACGCAGAAAACATTGTAACACCACGGCCTTATGTATCTTTCCCATCATGTCGCCGTTCAACAATGAACTTCTGAAATATCTTCGCTGCATTGGTGTCCAAGGTAGTGAACAGTGGTAATACGAAATTAACATAAAAATGTTCGCTCAAAAATTATGGTACTCAATTTTTATCAATTTTTCTTTCGTATTGCATTTAAATATTATTTTAAAGGGAGAAAACCTAATTGCGCAAATTTCAATTATCTACTAATTCTGATTTTTAAAACAGATTTTGATTAAAATAAAAATCTTATTCCCCATTTTGTTGTTTTCAAATGATGAGTTTTTGCAATTTTCGAAAAATTCATCTTATATGACAATTCTGAGAATTCATCTTCAAAATACTAGACAATTACATTTACTGATATGGAAAGAAAAGTTAAGTAAGTGTGTAAAAAGAAAATTATATAAAACTGTTGTAGAGAATATTGCCCTTTATGGATCTGAGGTTTGGGAGATATCAAAAAAGAGAAAAAAGAAATTGAAAGCAATGGAAATGGACTTCTGGCGCCGAAGTTGCGGACTGACTTTAATGAATAAAGTTAAGAACGAAGAAATTAAACATAAAGCGGAAATAAATTTTAATATAATTGACACCACAGAAGTGAAAAGACTAAAATAGTATGGGCACATGCAAAGAATGAACGAAGAACGTTGGCCGAAAATATTCTGGAAATTGCAACTATTATATTTCGCACAAAATTACACAAAAAACTACTCACATTTTCGAAGAATTAAAGATGAACTTCTTTGAAGATGTTTTTGATAACACGCATTTCATTAAAGAAAATATCCTATCTCCAATATTTTAATTGTACAAAACTCAAAAAAATTAGATTTATTATTTTCAAAAAATTAGAATTTTAACGAATTGAGACCTGGATCATTCTCTTAATGTCCATTACGCTATCCAATAACAAAATTTAACCAAAGAATTTGGTGCCATTTTTTTTAATTTGGAAAATGTTCCAGGGGCTTCATGTAAAATACCCGAAAATTAAAATAGCCGCGACATCATGCATACTAGCGCCTGCTAGTATTGAACACAGTCAGACGGGTGGACAGACACGTTTTGTCGTCAATCGATATTTTAGTATCAAGGACCCACAAAACACGAATGTCACTGCACTCTGTTCGATTTTACTGCAGAGGAACGGGGAGCTATTTCTTATCAATTCGGTCTATTTCTTGCCATTTTTCATTCCCAAACATGTTTCAATTCTGGGTCATCTTTCTGATCTTGCGAGTGTTCTTTAGATTGTCATCGATCATTACTGAAAGTGACCCGTAAAGTAGGAGACATCTCTTCCACATGACAGTATTGCTTGTTTTTCAGTTTTCAGGGCCCGATCTTCTGGCGTGAGCATCGCCATTCCGATAGCCACTTCTACTCCAATTATCTATAGTAAATGTGAATTCTTGTAATTCTACAATCCATCTAGTGACTTGTCCTTCCGAATTATTGAAGTTCAGCAGCCATTTGAAAGCAGCATATCAGTCCTCAAAATAAATTTTCTGCCTTAGAGATACTTGTAGAATTGCTCAACGGATTTTCCCAGAGCGAGTAATTCTCTTGGGATTACACAGTAGTTGCGTTCTGTTTTTGGGTTCTAATACTATTGTGAAACAAGACTCATTAGATGCTCTGTCTTCGTAATTATTGGATATGGAATTAAGAGGAAATGGTTTAGTTGAAAAAAATTATTTCATTGTACGGAAAGGAAACACGAAATAATTTATGTTAATTTGGCACGCAGTCACAAACGCTAGCACATACGCCAGGAGGCAACGTCTCCTTTAGTCCCAAAGTAGCCTTAATGCGTGGCACGTTGTAAAATTCGTTCGCAACACAAAACGTCCTCGGATGTGTTGAGCACAATACAGAGTGTTAATTCGTGATTAAATATATTATTTGTTAAATTTTATATATTTCTCCTTAAAAATTTTAACAAAATGAAAAAAATATGATTGCTTTTTTTGCTTTGAATTTGAGTAAGAATATTCAGAAGAAAACGATGCGATATATTACTTAATAAAAATCCTTATTAGTGAGGGAAATGGAGTTAAATAAATAAAGGAAATTATCGATACTGGCAGAATATTTCTTCTTAAATTGACTTCAAGATTAAAAAGATATAAAAGTAGGCGTATAATAAATATAATTTACATTCTCTTTGTTGAATTTCTTATTGTGGGGTAATTTATTAGCTTATAGTTCATGTAATATGTAAGTAGTGATTCTCGCAACAAAAGCTTGCCTCAGTCAAATGAGTACTTTTCGCCTCAGAGCATTAAGCATTAGTAGATACAATTATTGATTCTGTCATCTTTATGGAACTAACATTTTGCGAGTATCCATCGTAAAGATCCATCTCGGTGCTTAATAAAGACGGCGGTCTAAACATAGATATAGTAAAAATTTAGTACAAGTGGAACGACAATGTGTGTGCATGTGTGTGTGGTGGGGGGGTGCGTTTACGTTTATGTGTATCCGCCCAACGTGGGGGAGGTGGTTCATTTCTCCTAACCCTTTCTGCGTGTACTGAAGCGATTCTGATACTCGTGAATTCCTCTAGGGCAAGTGTTTCACTTTTCGTTGGCGGCAGTCTGCGAGCACCGTTGGGCGGGCCAAGTCGTGATGTCGGCGGGCAGCACGGACCGCGCAGCCATCGATAGGCCGATCACGCAGCCGCGCGACGCGACGCGACGCGACGCGACGCGCCGCGGCGCTATCTGAGCCAGCAGCTTGTCCCGCTGCGGCTGGGAACGCGAGGCAGAAGCGCCCATGGGAGCGGTGGCGGGTGCGAGCAGTCAGAGCTCGTGGCGAGGCTGACGTGGCAGCCGGGGATGTCGGCACCTCTCCCAATAGCCTGCTTCCTAAAGAGTCATCTTCACCAGCTGCGAATATCGTAATCTTATCAACGTTGCTGATAATTTCGGCCTCCTGAAATTACTCGGAGTATGAAAAGAATGTTATATCTAGAGCTCCAAAGTTCAGGCATTTATGTTACCTGAAAAAGACATGCAAAAAAGCATTTATTTTTACAGAAATAGTCACGAAAAAAGACATTCATTCTGGCTAAAGTATAGGTGCAAAAATGCATAAAAACAATGCAAAATCAAAATTGAAAGGAACTTTTATAAAGGAAGGTTTTATTAAAATGATACAAATTTTATTCTGTCAATGTACATTAGAGTCATGTAAGAAAACTCTCTTTTCTTTGAAATGTAAATTCCACGTGACTAATTGTATTATGACTACGAATTTGTTTTACTGGTGACGCTGTTTCTTCGAAATTCTATTGTGGATTCCATTTTGAATGTTGAAATGGCATCAGCGAAAATGGAATTACATTTTTCGTTAGCTCTGTCCTCATAGGCATCGGAAGTCAGGATTAGTAAGTAAGCAAGGATTCCTATTGAGCTTTATATTGAGTCGGTATCAATGAAAAAATCTAAAATCTTCACTGGTATAATTTTCCTTTTTCATTCAGATTTTAATACAAGCTGGTACTGGAGTCTTCTATTCCACGGAAAGACAAAACAAGACCGTTCCTTCGTGACCAGACTTGCAGGTGTCATTTCAACTTGATCGAGATTGGTGGGTGTCATAAAAAAGCAAAATAATGGCTAAACAGGTAATATACCAAAAATAGGCATCATAAGATAAAATACGCAAAATATGGCAAAATGAATATATACTAAAACAACCCCAGAAGTATAGCATTTTCTCAATTATTAAGTCCTATAAATGTAACAACAACAAAAAGGCATTTTGCCAAATTATAGCTGCCGAATTGTGGAAATGCCTTGAATGATACGACGTCGTTAACATTGTGAACAGTAACATAGGAACGATATTAACCAACTTATTGCCACGGTAAAATGTGCCCTATGAATTGATATTAATAAAATACATTGTTTTACTTTTTAACCCTCGGTAATAGTATAATCACTTTAGTAAAAAAAGACACATGCAGAATTGTTTAGTGGGAGGTCGTTATTGATTAGTATGCATATAGAAAGTACAACATTTAAGGGAAATTATAGTAGTTATTGTAAAATACTACCAACAGTTGTTTATAAAACAATGTTTCAAGGAAGTAGCGTCTTCTTCTTCAAACCAGAGTGGCGAGTCTGCGTAAATCTGCAGGAAACTGGACAATTCCATAAAACATGATGAGGCGAAAATCTTGCTCATCGTTATGACGATTGGACCATTTGAAGAATTTTGACGCTTATCAGCCTTCTTTAGGATTGCAATTGGTCTTAGAATAACGCAATTGCTCCAAATCAGCGAAGTTACTTAACCACCTCTGTCCTTCACGGGCGCTCGTATCTAGTTGTTTGCCTCGGCGGAAGATGCAGGGCGTTGTCACGGGCGGAATGCCAGCGCAGACCCCGCGAGACGCTTTTAAAATTGGTCCAAAGGGCATAGAGAAATACGGCAAATAGTAGACTAAATAATGTTTCATCACCTATTTTCTCATTTACACTTCTGCACTTTCTTTTCCATTCTTTTAGGGCTTTATAAATGTATATCTTAAACAGGGTTGGAGATTTACAGCAGCCTTGCCGTAATCCTTTATTTACTGGGAAGTTGTCTGACAGACATTTTGCCACTTTTACTTGACTTTTGTTATCTTTATAAAGTTGTTTGACTGCATTTATGTATGTTGATGATATTCCTTTTTCTTCCATTGCCCCCCATACTATGTTTCCTGGTACATTATCATAAGCCTTTTTGAGATCAATGAAAATTATGTGAAATTCTCTTCCTCGCTCAACTGTTTTTCCATCAGTTGTTTGAGACAGAAAATATTGTCAATATATCTTCCTGGTCTAAAACCACTTTGCTCTTCTGAATCTGATGTTTGAATTTCAATTCTATTCTTTAGCACACGTCCATACAGTCTAACCAAATATGAAGTCACACTTATCCCTCTATAATTATTACAATATGTTTACAGCCTTTTTGTAAATTGAATTTATATAGTCTAATTTCAATATTTCAGGTATTTTACCTCCTTTTAAAATTCCAGAGAATATTTCAGTAATTAATTCCAAACCTACAATAGGATAATGTTAACCAGCACTATGGATATACCTCCAGGCCCAGGTTATTTATTATTTTTAAGGTTTCTTAATACTTTTTTTTAACTCTTCCAAAGTCACATCTGGTGTTATCGAATTTACGTGCAGTGGTTCATAATTTATTCCCTGAAATTTAGTTATATTTTCCGTCAAAAGATTTTCGTAGTATTTTTGCTATTTTTAATACTAATTGGATCTACTAAATGCCATTTTTGGGTTGTATTCAATTTCATGGAATGTAACATTTTCCATGCCTCTCTGGATTTGGTTTTACTAATACACTTGTCTAATCTGTCGCAATTTAGTTCTCAAAATACATATTTTGCCTTCTTCACTTCGTTCTTGACCAAATATTTCATTCTGTTATATTCACTTCCGTCTTCTAAATCCTTTGTGGAAAGCCATCTCAATTATAACTTTTTATTTTCTTCAACCAGGTTCTTTATATCTTTTGTCCACCACAAGTATTTTTGTTTATAATCACATTTTTCCATCTCTCCCAAAGATTCTTTTGCTGTTTCATGAGTGCATTTTTCTAAAAATTGGTATTTCTCTTCAGTATTTCGTATTGGGATGTACTTTAATTTTTCTGTCATGCATAATTTGTACAAAAATGCAATGAAATCATCTTGAAGGCTTTCAATATTATATCTCGGCCACATCCGACACTATTTTTCCACCTTTTGTATTTGTTTTTGTTTTTCCGTAACTTTTGAAGTAAGGTGTATACACAAGGTAAGGTTTTCCTTTTAGTAGGTAGTGATCTGATCCACGGGAAGCACGTTTATTTCTGAAGGTAAATACTTATTAAATAATTTATTAATAATTGTTATTTAAACTGTTAATTAATAATAGTTACTTAAACTTAACGCATGCAATTTTTGTTACTAACTTATTCTAAGCTTACATACTATACAATGGGGAGGGATCCCATTGTGGGTCCACCAATCTGGTTTTATGCTTGCGAATTTGATTCGGATTACATGAATAGATATTTATTTTGGATTCTGGTTCTATGGATTAAGCTTTTTGAAAGTCTGAATTCGGAGAGTGCTATGATTTGATAGAATGATTAAATAGAAATTTGTGGAAAAGTGTATGATGTAATGATCTAATGGTTCTATTTGGAATTTCCTGTGAAGTTGATTATTGGAAATGAACCATGGGAGTTAGTACCGTTATAACAGTATTGTTTTGAATTGAACTGTGTCTTTTTATTAACGGTTTTAACTGACGGAGTTTTGCTTTGGTTTGTAATATCTTTGATTCAGTTTAATTTCGTTTCCAGGTATAATCCTAAGTATTTAACTGGTTTGTTGTAAGGGTACCATTCTGTAGGGATGATGTTCATTGTTAGCGGGGTAGGCGAGCACGTGGTCTAAGAGAGAGAATGTTTTGGTGGGATTTAACTGTACTTTGTACTTCGCGGCCCAGCCATCAAGTGTGTGCAGGATTTTTGCTCTTAGGTCTGCTAGTGAGTTACCAGAGATGTACAGGGATGTGTCGTCCGCGGATTGTGCTATATGTATGTTGTTTTATTTAGGGATGTCAGCTACATAAAGATTAAATAGGGTTGGTGATAAGGGTTATCTGCTTTGATAAATCTGGGGTTAGAGATGTTCCTATTGACATTAACGGAGAACGTTGTATTTCTTAAGAAGTTGTTGATAATGATGTGGGCTATTTGGGTGAGTTTGTAGCCATGTACTGCCAAATGCTTGTACTATGTCTAAAAAGAGTGCAATGGTGTAGTGTTTTGATTGAAAGGTTGCGTAAATATGTTCAGTTTTAACAGTTGGTGTTGTGTAGATATTTTCTCTGTGAAACCGAATAGTGCCTTGGGGATTGAGTTAGTTACTTCCATGCAATTTTTGAGTCTAGTTAGGATTAATTTCTCGAAAATTTTTGAGAAGCTAGAAAGCAAGCTGATAGGGCGATAACTATCTGTTGCATTCTCTTTTGGTTTCACTACGGGGATTACTATTGCGTATTTCAATGACTGGGGATAGTAATTAGTTTTGGAGCAAGTTATTATATTATTAATATTATTACTTAAGTATGCTATTGCAGAAATGGGTAGATATTTTATTGCAGTTTTAGTGATATTGTCATGTCCTGGTGCTTTTTTGCTAGGAAGGGATTTAATATTTTTTTTAAATTTCTGTGGGAGATGAGAATTGCATATTGTGGTGTGGTAAATATGGATATGTTTTTCTACTTTGAGTGATCTTTCTAACACATGGTGTAGCCAGAATCCATGTTTTGTGAGTCCTTGATATTGAAAAATCGATGACTGCAAAATGTCTGTCTGTCCGACTTTTTCTCTGTCTGTCTGCTCGTCTATACTGAACGCACAAAAAATCTTAGCTAGTATCTCCAGGGAATTGTCGTTTTAGCCATGACCATATTTATTTTGATTTGTCAATTACCCAAGCGACAGTCGTTAAATTTAGTTTCGAGAGTGGATGTTTTCCGTGCAAAACTTACCAGCGACGACGAGAGCCACGAAGCGGCGACACCTGCTGTGGTCAGAGTAACAGTTCTGGGGTTGGTCTTATTTGTGAGATGTTTAACCCCCCCTCCCAAAAAAAAAGAACCAACAAAGAAACAACTGGTATTGTGGGACTGATATTGAAAACATGGATACAGCTTGTTCCTATACGTAGCAAATAACTTCCTCTAACACGTTGTGTAGTCAAAATCCAGGTTTTGTGGTTCCTTGATACCAAAATTGGTTTATGACAAAACATCTGTCCAAACGTCTGACCGTACCTCCGTCTGTGGTTAAATTCAGAGCCACGAAAATAGTTCAGACAATTTTATAACATTAACCATCAGATTAAATTTTCCCTCGGGTAGACAAAGAACACTTAACTAGTAGTGCTATACAATGGCACATACGTTCTTGTAAAATGGT